ACTGCATTGTGCCAAGTGAAAAGTTTGGTGGAGGGGGGATTTTGGTGTGGGGTTGTTTATCAGTGATCGGGCTTGGCTCCTTAGTTCCAGTGAAGGGAACTCTTAAGGCGTCAGCATACCAAGACATTTTGGACAATTTCATGTGCCCAACTTTGTAGGAATAGTTTGGAGATGGCCCCTTCCTGTTCCAACATGACTGCGCACCAGTACACAAAGCAAGGTCCATGAAGACATGGATGAACATGTTTGGGGTGGAGGAACTTGACTGGCCTGCACAATAGCCTGTCAATAGCAGCCCACTGCACATGCAGAAGCCACATTGTGCTTTGTAAATGGTCTCATAGTCTTTTAGGACTTGTGATGTGGGCAAAGAGGGTGGAAGGAACTTTGTCTAGGCGATTCGAGTGGAAGTGGGAGCGGTATTGTGAAAATTAGGTACCTGCACCAGCCCCCCCCCCCCCCCCCCCCCCCCTTAAAATGTTTCCAAATTTTGAAAATCATTTTCTTTCATTTCAGTTCCAGTAGTGAGGGCACAGGCAGCAAAAAAAAAAAAAAACTGACTTGGATTCTAACCCTTTCCACCCTGTCCAACATAAAAAAAAGGCTCCATTTAGATACACTTTAACCGCTTAAAGACCGTCCTATAGCAGATATACTGCTGCAGGGCGGCACCTGTGCACATAATCACGTATATATACGTCATTCTGCATTTTAAGGTAGGGGGCGTGCGGTGATTACCTGTAACTATCCGCCGGCGCCCGGTAATTACCGAGCATCTCTGACAGGGAGGAAGACTGTTTTGTTTATAAACAATCATCCTCCCTGTCAGCTCGAGCACACTGCTCTGGATGGCTGTGCACAGCACAGCCATCCTGATCAGTATGCTTACAGTGAAGAACACACCCCCCCAGCCCCCTAGTAAAACACTTCCAGCACACAGTTAACCCTTGATCGCCCCTCACATTAACCCCTTCCTGCCCAGTACCATTAGTACAGTGTCAGTGCTTTTTTTTTTTAGAACTGATCACTGTATTGGTGTCACTGGGGTGTCAGTGACATCAAGTTAGGTCCCCCCGCCCCCCCCCCTTGTGTCAGAATGTCCGCCGCAGTCCTGCAGTCTTGCTAAAAGTCGCTGATCACCACCATTACTAGTAGAAAAAAAAACTCCATTATCTATTCTGCCATTTGTAAACGCTATAACTTTCACGTAAACCAATTAATTTACACGTATTGGATTTTTTTTTAGCAAAGACATGTCGCAGAATAAATTTTGGTCTAAATTTATGACAAAACTAGACTTTTTAAAAATTTTTTTTTAATGGACGTGTTTAATAGCAAAATGTCCAAAATATAGTTTTTTTTCCCTCAAAATTGACGGTCTTTTTTTGCTTATAGCGCAAAAAATAAAAACTCACAGGTGATCAAATACCAACAAAAAAAAGCTCAATTCGTGGGAAAAAAAGGGCATAAATTTCATTTGGGTGCAGCATTGCATGACCGCGCAATTGTCAGTTAAAGTAACGCAGTGCCGTAATGCAAAAAATGGCCTGGTCAGGAAGGGGGGAAAATCCTCAGGAGGGCATGTGGTTAAGCTCTATAATTTTACAGTTTGAGAAATTAACTAACAATAATGCTTATGCCTCTGCAACTACTGGGTGCTAAAGGCAGATAGAGGTTTGTGCCCCTCACACTGTTCACCAATCAAAGAAAAGATTACAATGGTAAAACTATTTTGTCCTGGACAGACTGACAATGAAGCCCCTCCGGGGACCTCATCTTTCAGATGACTTCAAGATCCTAGATGACAGTAGCAGCGGGGATCTCAACAGTTATGTCACAATGCGCTTCATGAGTTCCAAATATCCCACTTCCTTAAGCTCTGTGAAACACTTGGAGAGCTCTCAGGAAGTATCCCTTCAACTGAAAAGAAATTCATGCCATGAGATTTTAGACAGCAGGCATTCCAAACATGTGAATACAGTAACAGAAAACAAGATTGAACGAATTAAGGCTGCAACCTTTATTATTGATTTAAATTAAATATTGAATGTATCCACTTGCCCTCCTAAGGATTTACCCCCCCCCCCCCCCTTAATGACCAGGCCTCTTTTTGCTATTTGGTGCTGCACTATTTCAACTGGTAATTGCATGGTCATGCAATTCTGTACCCAAAAAAAGTATATGTGCTTCCCTGGGTAAGGCCATGTAAGTAGTCATTGACCCTGAACAATCATGAGTTCTGACTTCATTCTGTTTTTTTCTGGCTCAGATAATACTGAAGCTATTCAATCTGCATGTCAAGCAGACAACTAGAATTTTTCTACAGTACACAACAATGGCAGCCTCTGTATTTCTTTTGGCATAGGTTTCCTTTAAAATGATTGTAAAGGTACAAATTAAAAATAAATAAATACATTCATAAATAACAAACATGTTATACTTACCTGCTCTGTGCAGTGGTGTTGCACAGAGCAGCCCTGATCCTCCTCTTCTCAGGTCCCTTGCTGGTGCTCCAGGCCCATCCATCTTGCCCAGTGCCCCATAGCAAGCTGCTTGCTGTGGGGGCATTCATGCGTGCTTGCTCCAAAGCCCTGCTGTGTGTCCATAAGACACACAGAACGTGGCTCGGCCCTGCCTCGCGCTCCCTCCTCAATGGCTCCCACTGCTGAGTCTCAGCCAATGAGGAGTGAGAGAGCTGGGAGAGCTTCTGCACTCGTGCACTTCGGTGGATCGAAATGGGGCTCAGGTAAGTATGGGGGGGGGACTGAGGGGGGAGCTGCACACTGTAGGTTTTTTACCTTCAGCCTTTATAAACAGTTAAATGCTGGCTACATGTTGATCTCCTAGATTGTAAGCTCCGAGGAGCAGGCCCTCCTATCCCTCTTGTATTGTTCAATATTGTTGCTAACTGTATTGTCTCCCGTTATATTGTAAAGCACTGAGCAAACTGTTGGTGCTATATAAATCCTGTATAATAATAATAATAGTGTTGTCCTCTGCTGGAAAGCCTTGCATTTATAACTTGTAGCGAACTGGATAACAGATAAGTAATACCAAGTGTTCAGGAGTGTCAGAACTCTACAGCCACACTGACAAATATCCTCAGGCATTCCTGAAATTCCCTACAGCTAGTGAAGGAATGGTCCTTTCAGTGCATATGTCATGGAACTGGACATCACCATAGATAAAAAAAAAACATTATTATGGAGAGATAAAGACTGACAAAGATGGACAAACTTCACCATTCTACGTCTCTCTTCTGTTGATGAAAACAGAAAGAGATTTGTACATACATGCTGAGTTTTATGTTCAACTTACTGAGCAAAATAATTTCATCTGATCAAACTCATGGCCAGTAGGCAACCCTCAAGGATTGAAGTTGGACAGCCTTGTAGTCTTATCACCAGAACTGTTGTAGAAACCCACAGAAACCTATATATTCAACTTTAAAGGATAAGTTCACCTGTGGGATCCCGTTTTTATGGTGGAACATGTAACATGTTCCTATAACCACAGCCGAGCCTGACCCCCCCCCCCCCCCCCCCCCCCTTCCCTCTGACAGATAAATATGGGGAGAAGTTTATTTTTTTAGAAAATAAAAAATAAATAAGCACTTTAGTTCCTTAACCTCCCTAGCGGTCTGATTATGTCCATATTTCTGTGCTCAAAGCGGTACATTTTTTTGCATGGAAATATGTTTTTTTTTTTTGTAGGCCTGTAATTTTTAGGAATAACTCACTGAAATCTGTCCGAACAAGAGTCTAGTAAACATCCCGGGTATGTTACAATTTGAAACACGAAATCATAAATTATAATTTAATAAATAATCATAAAAAATAATAATATAATAATAATAAATTTAATTCAATAATATAATCAAACCAAAAACACTGAAATTTGAAATTGAGCGCCAGTTCGCACATCACTGAGCAAAGTCACAAAATCGTTTTCAGTGTCTGATGACAAATTTCCCCACAAATCATTATCACTCAATTCTGCAAATAGTTCTAATTTACTATCGCTGTCTCTAGCTGGTCTAAAACCGCTTTTGACCTAAAGGAATGCTTTTTGGATGCCATGGACGTTTCTCAGTTTCCAGGCAGAAAGAACAGTAAAAATGTAGGCAGGGCACAGGACAAAGCACTACGGACAAAATTTATGTGAAATGCTTTGATACAGTAATGTGTTACTATGCGATTTTAGTGTATTTAGTGAATGTCACTTTTTGTAATTTTCAAATTTCCCATCGCTCCATCCCTGTACGTCCCGATGCTCGCAGGGGACGGAACCCATATGACAGATGCCGGCATCCGCCAGATTACATTGCCGGGGACACTGCAGGAGGGACATCGCGGGAGCGCAGGACAAGGTAAGAGAAGAACAGATCGCGGAGCAGCGCTGCATGGTAAGCCCGAGTGTAGCTCGGGGTTACCGCTTGTGGTACTGAAACTTTACCCCGAGCTACACTCGGGAATACCGCCAGGGAGGTTAACTAAAAAAGTAAAAACACCAAAAGTAAAAAGTGGCTAATGCTCAGTCAATCTACAATCAATTAGGCAGGTGCATAATAATTGTATACAAAATACAGTTGTGCTTATATTTTAAAGCAGAACTGAATTGAAGTAAAAGTAAAAAACTAATAAATCTGCGAGCTGGCAGGCTTTTATTGCAGAAGGGACATGCATTTCTGTAATAAAATGCCCCTACCTTCCTGCTCACCATCTCCTCCGACACTGTAAACTGAGCTGTGCATGTGCAGCTCAGCTTACAGTACTGGGACAGTCTCTGAGTGGATGACAGCATACCGCACATGCACAGGAGTGATCTCTGCAGGCCAAGGAAGAGGCCTGAAAACCGGCACTCAGATAAAGGTGCCGATAGGACTGCTGGACAGGTAAGTATGGAGACTTTAGTTCCATTTTAACCGCTTTCCCACCACTCTATAGCAGATATACTGCTACAGTGAGGCAGGGGTGTGCAAAATCACGTACATATACGTGATTTTGCATTTCCGGGTACCGCCCTACTCGCGCCACCATTCGCAGCCGTGGCTGTCAATCACCGGGTCCCATTGATTACCCACCGGCGCCCGGTGATTACCGAGCATCTCCGATGGGGAGGAGGACTGTTTTGTTTACTAGCAATTCTCCTCCCTGTCAGCTCTGGCACACTGCTTTGGATGGCTGTGAACAGCACAACCATCCAAAGCAGTGTGCTAACAGTGAAGCACACTGACACGGCCTCCTGGTAAAACACTCCCAGCATGCTGTTAACCCTTTGATCGCCCCTCATGTTAACCCCTTCCTGCCCAGTGCCATTAGTAGTGTCAGTGCTTTTTTTTAGCACTGATCACTGTATTGGTGTCACTGGGGATGTCAGTGACATCAAGTCAGTTCCCCCAGTGTCAGAATGTCCACCACAGTCCCACAGTCCCACTATAAGTCGCTGATCGCCGCCATTACTAGTAAAAAGAAAAAAAAAATTCCAGTATCTATACCACCATTTGTAAACGCTATAACGTTCACATAAACCACATAATTTACACGTATTGGGATTTTTTTTTAGCAGACATGTAGCAGAATACATTTTGGCCTAAATTTATGATGAAATTTGATTTTCTTTTAGTTTTTTTACTGGACATGTTTAATAGCAAAAAGTCAGAAATATAGTTTTTCTCTCAAAATTGTCGTTCTTTTTTTTATAGCACAAAAAATAAAAACCGCACAGGTGATAAAATACCACCAAAAGAAAGCTCAATTCGTGGGAAAAAAAGGACGAAATTCATTTGAGTGCATGACCGCGCAATTGTCAGTTAAAGTAACAGAGCGCCACAATGCAAAAAATGGCCTGGTCAGGAAGAGAGGTAAATCCTCAGGAGGGCAAGTGGTTACGTTTACATAGCCCTACCAGAATTTGTAAAAAATTACAATTTCTGCTTTGCACCATAAAACAGCCTTTTTACAATATGCCAAAGAGCACTAAAGCTGGCCATAGAGACACGCTTTTTAAAAAAAAAAAAAAAAAACAATGAACAGTTTCCTCCATCTATACAAACAAGGTGGTTGAAGGAATTCCCTCCACTGGACATTGTATTCTGACAGCGGGACTTGGCTGCTGCCAATTAGCTGCTGATAGGCAAACATTTTCCAACTTGTTCATTCGATAAAAGTCAATCTAATGCAGGCCATAGATGGGGAGAAAAACTGCAGATTTTTCTTTTAAAAAACGAAAAATCGGTTGTTCAAGTGGCCGACGTTACCATCAATGGTAAAAAAAATTTTCTACCGGTCTAGAGCCAGCAAAAAGTGTCCCTGCAGAGAGCTCTGCTATTTCTTTGACAGTTCTCTGACAGTTCCTTGACATTTATAGAAGTTGCAACAATGTATCTATTTGTTTCCATTTAGGATACAGATGTTTTTATTCGGAAACAAATAGATACAATGTTTCAACCGCTGTAAATGTCAAGGAACTGTCAGAGAACTGTCAGAAATAGCGGAGCTCTCTGCAGAGACACACCTTTTGCTGGACTGGAATTCTTCTTATTTTCATCCTACTTCTTCTTCTTCTTTCTTCTTCTTCTTCTTCTTCTTCATCCTCATCCTCTTCTTCTTCTTCTTCTTCATCCTCATCCTCATCCTCTTCTTCTTCTTCTTCTTCATCTTCATCCTCATCTCTTCTTCTTCTTCATCCTCATCCTCTTCTTCATCCTCATCCTCTTCTTCTTCTTCTTCTTCTTCTTCTTCATCCTCATCCTCTTCTTCATCCTCATCCTCTTCTTCTTCATCATCATCCTCATCCTCTTCTTCTTCTTCTTCTTCTTCATCATCCTCATCCTCTTCTTCTTCATCATCCTCATCCTCTTCTTCTTCTGCATCCTCATCCTATTCTTCTTCTTCATCATCATCATCCTCATCCTCTTCTTCTTCATCATCATCCTCATCCTCTTCTTCTTCATCCTCATCCTCCTCCTCCTCTTCTTCTTCTTCTTCTTCTTCTTCATCCTCATCCTCTTCTTCATCCTCACCCTCTTCTTCTTCATCATCATCATCATCCTCATCCTCTTCTTCTTCTTCTTCATCCTCATCCTCTTCTTCCTCATCCTCTTCTTCTTCCTCATCCTCATCCCCTTCTTCTTCTTCATCCTCATCCTCTTCTTCTTCTTCATCCTCATCCTCTTCTTCTTCTTCATCCTCATCCTCTTCTTCATCCTCTTCTTCTTCCTCTTCTTCTTCTTCATCCTCTTCTTCATCGTCTTCCTCTTCTTCTTTTTCTTCTTTTTGTCTTCCTCTTGCAGGTCACTGCTCATGCGCAGATTTTTTATCGGTAAAAAATCGGCCGATTTGCCCACTAATTGCCGCGAAAATCGGCCGATCGGCAAAATCGGCCGGTTTTTTTCCAACTTTACGAAAAAAAAAAAAAAAAAAACGGCCAAACTACCGAAAAACGGCCGACCAAATCGCCCACTAACGATCCGAAAATCGGCCGATTTTATTTTCGGCTGAAAAATCAGCCGATTTTCGACCTATCTATGGCCTGCATAACAGTCAACTTCTGTCGAACATGGACAGCCACATATTGATTGAAATTTGGATAGTTCATGATTAACCAGCCAAATTTCTTGATCCATCTATGGCCACCTATAGAAAAGTCTCAATATTCCTTTTCTATGATGCCTGATAATTTATTTCATGCACATTAAAAAATAATCTCATCACAAATGTTTTCCTAAATAATTATTCACATCTCACAAATTCTGCCAGGGATATGGTGTATATAAACACAAATGTAAAAATGTTCTCAGTCTCTCAAACCTGTTAGCAAGCAAAAGAAACCTGATTAAACTTTTTTTTTATATAGTCCCATAATAATTGGGCTCTTGGATTGCATATTTGTGCAAATATGGCCACTTTATTAGGTACACTTTTTCAATTGTTTGGTAACACAAATTGCTAATCATCCAATCACATGGCAGAAACTCAATGCATTTAGGCATCTAGACGTGGTGAAGACAACTTGCTGAACTTCAAACCGAGCATCAGAATGTAGACAAAAGGGGATTTAAGTGATTTTGAACGTGGAATGGTTGTTGGTGCCAGATGGGCTGATCTGAGTATTTAAAAAACTGCTGATCTACTGGGATTTTCATGCACAACCATCTCTAGGGTTTACAGAGAATGGTCTGAAAAATAGAAAATATACAGTGAGCAGCAGTTGTGTGGTCGAAAATGCCTTGTTGATGTCAGAGGAAAATGGGCAGACTGGTTTGAGATGATAGAAAGGCAACAGTAATTCATGTCAATATGGACCAAAATCTCTAAGGAATGTTTCAAACACTTTGTTGAATCTATGCCACGAAGAATTAAGGCAGTTCTGAAGGTGAAAGTGAGTCCAGCTTGGTACTAGCAAGGTGTACCTAATAATGTGGCTGGTGAGTGTTTAATGCAAACTAAAGGCACATGCCATGTCACTATACAAGGAGCTCCTTATTCTAACCTGCAGGGAATTTTGAAAAAAAATAGATCAATTTTCAACTTTATGTGAAAGTGTGGAAGTTGTCACTCTCAACAGATTAGTCTACACACCTGTAAATGTGTTGCTTTGAATAAAAGATCACCTGTTTAAATGTATTACTATAGCACACTTATTATTCAGTGTCACACATTATATATGTCTAATGCAGGTGGCCATTCCTTTACTATTTAATGTACTAACAGACGGATATAAACTTAGATGCAGGGCTATTTTAAGCTATAGACACCAAGGGACATAAAGACCCAACATGAAACTGAAGTCAAACAGACAGCAGTAGGGAGTGGAAAATAGCAGGTGCTCCGCTCTTCTGTACAGGCCAACAAACCAGCTGGTGGTAACTCTAAAGGCAGCGTCACACAGAAGAAGCAGCTGCACATGGCGGGAATGTGAGCAGACTATCCTCTCTGGAGGTTCATTTGGATACGTACCACAAGATCGCCAAGGATGAAGTGAAGTTTTCATTTGTGTGACAGAAGTTGCTATATTTAAAAAAAACAACAATATTTAAATATTTAAATGAGAATTTACTCCTAAATGTTTGTATTACATTTTGTAATATATACTGTATACTGTAATATATTGTAATATTTTCTTAAATGCTAATTTTTTATTTCAACTGGCACCCTTCAAGTACTATTTTTGTGTTATGGTATGTTCTTGAGTAAAAAAGTAAGACCTCATTCACATTGGCATTGACAAATGTGCACTTATATGTCTTACAGGACATTTCTAGATGTATATAAATGCATTCAATTATTTAAAATGGTATAATTTATACTGTGTGTTTACTTGCATTTAGGTGCGTTCAGTTAGCTGCAGTTAGAGAAAATGGAATTCCATATGTGACGGGCCACCTGGCACTCCACTTGTGTGCATCTGTTAGAGTACAAAAAATGGCCACTGCCCCAGTCTATAACTGGCCTGCACAACAAGGAACACATGGACGGGCAACGCATGTCAAACAACAAAAGAGAAAAGTTCCCAGCTCAACTTGCCAGCCAGCTTGCTAACAAACCAGATTAACCTGTCTAACAGTATGCATTAAAAGCAGGGGTTTAGTTAGCACACATTTGCAAATACATACGTAAGTTACAGAGCCTCGACACAGCACCCCAGCATTCTGTAATCCTAACACTACAAATTTTGAGAGCCCCCATAGTAGAGGCACATGTATTTAATGGATAGACCAAGGGCAGGTGAACCTGAGGAAGCCCACCCCTCCTTAAAGCTACAGGAGTGCACTGGACACCCAACAATGGCAGCTAAGGTGTCCAGTACGCAACTCTTGACCAACAATTCAACAGTGCAAAAAATAGCCATTGCCCCAGTCTATAACTGGCCTTCACAGCAAGGAACACATGGACGTCTGTTAGAGAACTGCTTCCTTGCTGCTGGGACATAGGACCAAGGTATTATAGCTGGGCTTCGCACTCAAGACTAGGCAACATTAGCTTAGGTACAAAACTGGAATTACTTTATTGAACAGAAATACAGATTTTTTTATATACTTTAGAAATAGGGGCAGTCCTCACATGAACAATAAAAACAAATATTACACATTGGGATAAACATCCCACGTTGTTTAGGTAAGAGCTTGATCACATTATCCTAAACAGTACAAACGGTAACTAGTAACTAGTACAGCCAACAGCTAACAGTGATCTAATTAACAGTAAGCTAATCAACAGCAAAGCACCCATACAAGCCAGGGAGCCCACCCCAGACAGCCTGGCACCTCCAAACCCAGAATACACAAAGTACATTACACGTGCTGTCTTTCAGGTGTTTGCTTTCACTTGTATAATCTGTCCATCATAAAACAAAACTCATACAATATTTCAACTTTTTGAAAAAGTGGAATTCATCTATCTTCATATATTTATTGAGGGAGATTGT